GCTTTCTTTTCTTATTTTGTGAAATTTACTTTTTCTGCACTGCCTCCCATCACCAACTCATCAATCACACTATCCGCTTCTCTGCCCTCTTACTCCCCCCCCCCTCATTTCCAAGATGTGTCGCCAGTACTTTATGGTCTATGAATGGTGCCGGTGTGAAGAAGATGCCGGCCAACAGCTCTGTTCCTCGCGCAACAATGAGAACAATTACTGTCCCGAAACGTCCATTCAGTTGGTCCACATGCACTGTTTCTGCTACGGACACGCAACCCACGGCTTTAAGTCGGAGCGCAAGCTGCGCAAGCAGGAGCGCAAACAGGATCGCAAACGCTTCTCAATGCTGAGCTTTACAGACAAGAGCGACAGGAGCGACAGGAGCGAGCCCAGCGCCTCCAGCGAGACCAGCGAGCAAAGCTTGCCGACTCCACGGAAGAAGCGATGGTCCTTGTTCGCTAGCTTACGGTCGCGGACCTTTTAAGCTGTCTTTGACGTGGCCGAGTGCGTTTTTGCAATCGTTTGATTTTCCTTTGTGAATGGGGTTATTCTGTGAATCATCAGCACCGGTGTTTGGATGCATGGATCATCTTTCTCCTTTGGGTGGGTTCGGTTCGGGCGTTTCTCGGGGTTTATTGTGTTTTTGCTTTTCACAAGGTCGGGCGGGGGACTTTTGCAAATCCCGATGAGAAAAAAGAGACTTCTTCATACCCTCTCTTTGGTGTTTTATTTTTGGGAGGGGTTTTATACATTGGGGTGACAATGTATGTTATCTGGATGGGATTGTAGATAGATTGACTGCTCCGATCGGATCGGGAACGATCTGATTGTGATGCGCGAACCCCGGATGATGCATGGATTATTTGGGGGCAGCAATAAGACGATCGACTATTGTCTGACCAGTGATTATTGGAAACCACATTGGCTCCGGTCAGGGATGATGGGTCACATTCTCGACAAGTTCCTGCAAGACACCCTTGGAAGAACTACTTTAGATGCAGCAGTAGTGACTTGAGGAGTATCGAGTATCTCCAGTTACGTAGAAGTAGAGATTAAGTAGAGAGGCCAAGTGGAGCGCAATCCCGGATGGATCGCCGGCCCCTGAACCTGGAAAGTTGGAAGCTTGATTGTTGAAGCTTGAAGAATGAGGGGAAACCCTGCATTGCATTGATTGATTTGATGGAATGCAAATTGAATGATTTGACTTATGGAGGGAGGGTATTGGGTTTGAGTTCCCGTGCTTGTTGTTATCTTGTCTGCCTCCCTTTCCTTCTCTCTCTGTCTCTCTTCCTCTCTCCTCTCTCCCTCCTTCCCCCCTCCTCCTCCTCCTCCCTATCTATCCCTGAGTATTCAACTCCCTCCTCACCTACCAGCTCTCATCGCAATATAATTCTCTTTTATTTCTATCTAAATTCTATAATTCTATAATTCTATCAATCCAAGTTACCTCTCTACTCCACCTACCAGAACATCCACTGAACAACCCCCCGATGGGCCCAATATGGACCCCTCCAAGCGCCATGAGCCCACCTCATTCACTACGGCTTCATCCCCCCCAGCAACCGAGCCCCCGCTGTCTACAGACGACGCGACTACCTCGACTCAGAGACTAAGCTATCCCTCGCTACACGACATGTCCCTGCCTCCCTCATCTCCTGGACTCTCGTCAGCCGCCTTGTTGTCGCCCTCCGATCCCCCTGCGCGTGCTGTCGCGACCCAGGCGCACCCCACCCCACGTCGCATTCCCAGCTCCAGCTCCCTGGCCGATGAGCGTCGCAAGTCCTCGCCCAGCCTGAAGAAACGTTCATCCACCGCGTCGCTACGTTCTAACCGTGGAGCGTCCACTTCACCCCGACCCAGCTTATCGCGACACTCCTCATCCTCGTTCGGCACCTCCCCGACGAGCGCGTCCGCCACCCACCCAAACATGGCCAAGAAGGCTCATCGGACAGCGTCGGCGGAGCATTCTTTCGCAGCAGCAGCAGCATCCATCGCAGCAGAGTCCTTTCGCAAAGAAGTGGCCTGGCATCAGTCCGCAAAGCCACAGTCGCAGACACTCGTGCTCGTCCATGATGCGTGTTATGGCCATCGCTTCTCGCGCCCGCGAACCTCCCGCGCGGCGCTTAACTCTATCGTCGAGCGTCCCGAGCGCATCCAGGCCAGCGTGCTGGGCATTTCGGCCGCATATGTTCGACTAGCCCGGCGACATGCAGGAGGCACGTTCGCTCCTCACCCTGACCTCAATCCGCAGCAGCTGCCGGTGCCGCCATTCCATATTCGCAAGACGGCGCGGACACTGTCGCTCAGCTCGCCTGCGGTCACGCACGTGCATGGGTCCAAGTGGATGGAGGACCTAAAGACCATGTGCGATGCAGCCGAATCCCGGCTTGCGTTGAACGGCAAGGAGTTGGTCCGCCCTCGCAGCGCCGGCAAGGACAGCGCCGCCACGAATGCCCCTGCTTTTCACGAAGGAGACCTCTATTTGTGCTCGGAATCCTTGAGCGCGTTCGAAGGCGCCCTGGGAGGTGTCAGTGACGGCGTGGACGCGGTCATGGGTCCGGGCCCAACCAAGCGAGCGTTTGTCTGCATCCGCCCGCCCGGTCATCATTGTTCTGCAGGTCATCCGTCAGGGTTCTGTTGGATTAACAACGTCCATGTGGGCATTTCGTATGCGGCCATGACCCATGGCTTGACCCATGCCGCCATCCTCGACTTTGATCTGCATCATGGAGACGGATCACAAGATATCGCCTGGCAGCAGAATCACAAAGCGGTAACCGCGCCACGGAATGCGGCCGCCCATCGAAAGACCATGGTGGGATATTTTAGTCTGCACGACATCAATTCCTATCCGTGCGAAATGGGGGAGCCGGAAAAGGTGCGCAATGCGAGCGTGTGTATTGACAAGGCCCATGGCCAGTCCATCTGGAACGTGCATCTGGAGCCGTGGAAGTCGGAAAAAGAATTCTGGGACCTGTATGCTGCCAAGTACACTGTGCTGATCGACAAGGCGCGGGCGTTCCTGCGTATGCATACCGAGCGGCTGGCCAACACGCCCAATGGACCTCCGCCGAAGGCAGCCATCTTTATTTCAGCCGGGTTTGACGCGAGCGAGTGGGAGGGCGCCGGCATGCAGCGCCACCAGGTAAACGTGCCCACCGAGTTTTATGCCAGGTTCACGGCCGACGTGGTGCGGATGGCGAACGAGGAGGGCCTGGGGACGGATGGGCGAATCATCAGTGTCCTCGAGGGCGGCTACAGCAATCGTGCATTGACCAGCGGTGTGCTCAGTCATTTATCTGGACTGGGTGATGCAAAGGGCAGCACCCATGATCTGGATGAGCGGCAGATTGATCGACTCGCAGCGGAAATGACAGATCGTCTGGGCCTGTCTGATTCGACAGAGGGGCGGTCGGTGACTGAACCGATGTACAACAGTGAGTGGTGGGCACCAGGCGTGCTGGAGGAACTGGAGGCGCTGGTTTATTCGCCGGCTGCACCTGTCAAGCCCCGGGAGAAGGCTGTACCGACCTACTTAACCACAACGCAGTCATTTTCTGCCAAAGTAGTCAATCCCCCACGAGACCGCAGGTCGACCGGTTCGCACTCGAGCCCAGAGCCGGAAGCACCATCTCCACCCCCGCCAGTCGGCTGGGCGACTGCCACGCATGAACTATGCAAGGTCCTGGTCCCGACCGGTCGGCAGACGACAAGCTGTCGGCCAGAAGAGCTCAATGCCGAGGCATCGCGCCTGCGACGGGAGCGTCAGACAGCAGCGGATGCAGCCTCCACAAGCGCGACCACGGCTGCGGTGGCAGCTGCAGCTGCGGCTACAGCTACGGCTACAGCTACGGCTACAGCGTCGACCGCAGAAGACAGCCGGATGAAGCTCCGCGTGCGGAAGCCCAAGCCCTCGCTGCCTGCCTCGCCTCCGGCCGAGACTGTCAAGCGCCCTGCAGCTCGTGGCAGTCGGAGAACCACCATCGACACAGCGCCAGACACAGCTTCTGCAGTACAGACACCCGGTCGCGTGGCCCGCAGGAAGAGTGCAGGAGCCGGGTCAGCAGTATCGACGCCAGAACCGACCGGGCCCAGACCCGCGTCGAGTGCCGCGGTGCGCAAGACCAGTACTTCACAATCCAGCACACCTCGACTATCCTCGAGTCCGAATACGCCTCCTGTGCCGCGAGTGCCGCCGGCTTTTCTTCCAGCAGAAAGCGAAGGGTCGCCGAATCCTGATGGGCCCCAAGATGATCTGGACGGTCTGACAGCCGGGGTTCGCAAGCTGCATATTAAGTTGAAGGTCCCATCGCCAGAAGAGAACGCAGCCAGGGAGAGAGAAAGAGAGAGACGAGCAGCGGAAGAGCGGAAGCGCGCGGCCTCCAAGGCCAGTTCAAAGACGCAGACGCAGACGCAGACCCCCAAGTCGCCTCGCAAGCCCGCTGGTCGGGCACTGAGCTCGGCTTCAAAGGCGGGTCGGTCTGCAGCGAAGCCCACACCAGTGGCAGTTCAATCAGAGACCGAAGCCAAGGACGAGCCATCAATCGTCACGCCTGTAACCTCGTCACCGCCGTCCGTGAGCAAAGTTGAAAGCAGTACCACCCATGGCTGGGACAGAAGTGAACCCGAGGCTGCAGCTAGCATGGTCATGTCGCCACCATTGACACCAGGCCGTCCGCCATCGGCATTATATTCTCCTCCCGGAATGACACTGGCGCGGGATGGATTGCCGGTCATGATGTCGAGCGGGGTGATACCATTTGCAGAAGCCGTACGGAGGAATGAGCAGGGGGAGGAGCAGAAGGGAGGTAATACTTAATTATCGTTGTGATTCACTCATTGATTTTCCTTGTGTTGGACTTGATACTTTGATACTTGTTTGATATACCCCTCGTGTTGGAGTTTTCCATGTCATTCCTTCTTTCCTCTCTATGTCAGAAAGAATTAAATTTAGCAGAATAATTAATCGATTGAATGCTACACATATCTCCGAGCAATCTCCGATCCGATCAGATAAAATTGTGCACCGCCACGCTGAGTCATTTGCCTCTCTCTCTCCGCATGACTCCCGCCGCCAGGCGCTTCCAGCATCTGCCAGAAAGAACATTATTAAACATTTACTTACTCTATTCTTCCCTTCACATATCTTAACTCCTCACCTTTCCTCTCCATACCTCCCACTCTCAAACCAAACCCATACTCAGAAAAACCACCAAAAATGTCCCCAATACCCACCCCCAACCAACCCACCTCCTCATCATCAACAGCAACAGCAACAGCAACAGCAGCAGCAGACGCCGACCTCGACGCCATCGGCTCCCACTGCTCCCTCCCAACCTGCAACCAACTCGACTTTCTCCCATTCCGCTGCCCCTCCTGCAAGGGGACATATTGTCTCGAGCACAGAACCGAAACAGCGCATAAATGCCCGAATGCCCGAATTTCACCCTCACCGTCCACAACCTCCAAAACTCAGCAACAACAACAACAACAAAAACCCAATATATACACCGCAGATCAATGCGCGCATGTTTCGTGCAAGACACTCATTAATACTCTCACTGACCCTGGTGTGCGGTGCGATCAGTGTCGGAAAGAGTATTGTCTCAGACATCGGTTGAGGGAGGGGCATGATTGTCGGCCTGTCTCTATTAATGGTAGGAATGGTGCTAGAGGAGGGAATAATGTAGGGGGAGGGACGGATACGCTGAAGTCGATGTTTGGGAAGTTGCGCGCTTGGGGGAATAAACCCTCTTCTGCTTCTACCAGTGGTAGTGGTAGTGGGAGTGGGAGTGGGAGGAAACCACCCAGCCGGGCAGTGCAACTGAACAGCATGAAACGCACCGCCAAGGGAGAGAACAACATCCCCAGTGACAAACGGATCTATTTACATGTTGTGGGGACGAGCGAGACGACAAATAAGCCGGCGACGGATCCCCCGCGGGGAGACTTTTTCTTCGATGAGAGGTGGAAGGTGGGGAGGGTGTTGGATGATGCGGCGAGACGGTTGCAGGTGGAGAATGTGAATAATCGGGGCGGAGGGGAGGAGGAGAAGTTGAGGGTGTTTCATGTTGAGGGGGGAGTGTTTTTGGAGTTTGGGGAGAGTGTGGGTGCGAAGGTGAAGTCTGGGGATACGGTTGTTTTGTTGAGGGGGGCGGGGGTAATTTTATAGAGAAACCCTCCGGAGGGAGGGATTTTGATCTATGGTGTAGAGGGGGGAATGTAGAGTATATACCCTTGCTTGTTTACCTATTTGCTGCTATCTAAACATATTTGTCTATCACTCACTGTCTTAATTCTATATACACAGTATAGTACCAGCTAAACGCTCATCTTCATCTTAATCGCCTTATGCGGCTTATACCCAATGACCTCAAACTCCTCCTCCTTCCACCCATCAACAACCCCACTACCCCTATCGTCCCTCTTAATCCTCACCTCCGGAAACGCCAGGGGCTCGCGTTCAATCTGCTCCTTCAACGCCTCCACATGATCCAAATAAACATGAGCATCACCCAAGGTATGCACCAGAGTGCCGGGAACCATATCAACCGCATGGGCCAACAAATGCGTCAACAACGCATAAGAAGCAATATTAAATGGCACCCCAAGCCCCATATCCGCACTCCTCTGATACAACAAACAATCCAAATGGCCCTTCCCCCACTCCCCATCCCTAACCACCCCGGTCCTCTCATCCCTCTTCGCATCCGGAAACCTGACATAAAACTGCGCAAACATATGACAAGGCGGCAGAGCCATAATCCTCATATCCTTCGGATTCCACGCCGACATGATAATCCTCCGATCGAACGGATTCTCCTTCAATTTCTTCACCACCTCGGCTAACTGATCCACGCCCTGACCGGTATAATCTGTCTTGGCATCGACGTATTCAGCCCCGAAATGTCTCCATTGGAAGCCGTACACCGGCCCTAGGTCGCCGACTTCCCGGTGCGAGAGGCCTACTTTGTCGAGGTATTCGCGCGAGCCGTTGCCGTCCCAGATTTTAATCCCGGCGTCGCTGAGGGGTACGGAGGAGGTCGTGCCGGAGATGAACCAGAGGAGTTCGGCGAGGACGGCGCGCAGGAAGACGCGTTTGGTGGTTAGGAGGGGGAGGATCGGGGTGTATGGTTCTTCTGAGGTGGTGGTGGAGGGTTTGGAGAGAGAGAAGCGCATCTGCGGAGGGGCGAAGATCGAGCGTGTGCCGGTGCCGGTGCGGTCCGGGCGGTGCTCGCCTTCTGCGAGGATGCGGCGGATTAGGTTCAGGTATTGGTGTTCTTCGTGGGTTGGGTCGTGGGGAATGGGCTGGGGAGTGGTGGTGGTAGTGGTGGTAGTGGGTTGGGGAGTTGACTCCTGGGTGGGGAGGGTTTCGGCTGAGGGGGCCATTTTGTATAGTTCTCTGTAGTGGCTGTTTCTTGATGTTTTGTGTGTGTGTGTTATGTGTTGTGGTATCTTGATATGGGGTATAAGTGATGTGTAGAATGTGTCGGAGTGAAGTGGGATGGAGGAGTAAATGATGGATTGACGCGCCCGCGACGCGCCACGTGGTCATGTGACCGTGTCGTCGGATGTAATATCCGATCTCGGAGCTACAAAGTATAGATCTTATAGATGGAACAGTAGCATACGACTCTATTCCACTGGTATTTGGTATCTTAGTTCATCAAATCTACTCCCACTCCCCGCAGTGCAGTTACTACCCACTCCGGGTAATCAGTCTTCTCTCCATACAACTTCCCAAAGAAGTTGCGCAAAAACGCCGGGAACCTGTCCTCTATGATGGCCTGTCGCGCCAATCCCATCAACGACAGCAGATAGTGCACGTTGTGCATCGTAAGCCTGTTCATTAGTATACATCATACAATACACACGTCTGGAATAGCAACTTACAGATGTGCTCCTACAGTCTCCTTCGCCGCCAAATGGTGCAGGTATGCCCGCGTAATACCCAGTCCACCCTGCTCCTTCGGGAGACAGATGCTGCAGGTGCAGCCCTCCTGCACCGGCCGGAAGTCCTCTGCGAAAGACCGGTGGCGCAGGTTCAATGTCCCTGTCGGGACCACGGCGTTGCCGAAGCGCTAAAGAAATCAGTCAAGGTACATCAGAAGGGGATTTAAAACATACAGCCGTCCGTGTCGGCCAGACACAATCAAACATGTCTGCGCCAAGCGCAACTCCCATGATCAAGTCCTCCGGATAGCCCTAACCAGGTCAGCCTGCACATACACCCTCTGAACTGAACAACCTACCACTCCCATCACATATCGCGGCTTCTTCTCCGGGAGCAGTCCCGTGCAAGTATCCACCCTAACCTATTAGCCCAAACCCCCCATAAGATAAAGGATACAACATACACCCTGCAAAAGTCCTCCTTCGCTTCACCACCAGAAAGACCACCAATGGCAATACCCGGTGTATCTCGCGCCACCATCTCCTCGCAACATTGTTTCCGCATCTCCAAATCCAGTCCACCCTGGATAATGCAAAACAGATTCTGTCTCTCCGGGTACTTGTGTGCATCGATACAACGATCCAACCAGCGAACGGAACGCTCCATGGCTTCATGGATTCTCTCCCGGTCCGGCGAAGTGGTTGCGATCACATCGTCCAATTGCATGATAATATCGGATCCGATCGAATTCTGTAACGAGATCGAATGTTCGGGGGTGAGCAGCCTTTATATATAAAACTACCATTAGCTTTTCGCCAACCACAAAACACAGCCTAACCCCCGGGGAAAAGGGGATAAACTAACATCGGTGTGCCATCATGAGGGCTCAAAAACCGTACACCTTCCTCCGTAACAGTGGCAAGTTTAAGCAAGGACACCATTTGGAATCTGCGCTCCGTCAGTTAATCCCGATCATCACGGAGAAGGTATAGGCGATATCAAGCGCACCCTCCACTATCCGTAAGAATATTCCGATCCCATCCCTGCAACTTATGCGCCCCGCCTACGGCATCCAGCACCGCCTGCCCGGGTTTCAATCCAAGGTGGTAGGTATTATTCAGACAGAGCTGACAGCCCGTCTGTCGGAGCTGGTCGTACGTCAAGCCCTTCAGGGAGGCCTGGGTCGCGACGGGCATGAAGATAGGGAGGGGGACATCGCCATGGGGGAGGCGGAGGGTACTGGCGCGTGCTTTTGTTGTCTAGGTATAGATAGTAGTCAGTATACGATGTTTTGCTCTCAACATGATCGGAGTAGCAAGCATACTGAACACTTGGCATGTAAGTCAAAGGTCAATGCCGAGGGCATGGGTTTGCGCGTGGGAGTGGTGGTCGTGGCAGTCGACATGGTTGCGATAGTAGGAGCCCCGCTCGGAGCTGGAGCTGACGAGGGTGGGTGTGTGATGCGGGCAAGGCTTGATGTTGCTGCCAATTTATATAAGGTTGCAGAAGTGGTGGATAGTATGGTGCCTGAGCGGCAGCTTCTTATCCAATTCTGCGGGGTGACTCGGGCATACATTCATGTAATACCCAGAAGCATGGCATTCTCTGGTCTGTCAGCGACTCTTTTTGTCTTTCTTGTCTTGGATCAATATCAGTGGTGTTTGTCTTGTTTGTATGTTTTGCATCGATTGGTATTATATCTAGGAATGCTGTCACGATCATACAGAATTACAATACAGACATCTTCCCCGCATTTACTCCGTCTCCCCCCATTTCTAAGTATTGCCGGTCCCTGCGGAGGATTCCCTGGAGAAGACGATCTATTCTCATCTCCATGACAGTCCAGGACGGACATCTCCACATCTACCTACGAGTGCATTCTCAACTGCTCAAGAGAATGAAAGATTACAAGCCCAATTCTTTCCTTCCAATCAATCAATGGCAAACAAACCTTGCATACCCAACTGACTCGCCCGCAGCAAAAGGAACTTCCGCTCAACTGAGCCAATTTTGCCGATCAGCCACTAGCAAGCAGCCATGCAGCTCAAGTCGCCTTTGGGGATGGCGGTCTGCCGCCGGTTCGGGGCTAGCTAAGCTGGACTAAGTTGGAGTCAGCCGGTCTGTCGGTCTTCTCGTGTGGAAGTTTTCTGCACTCTCTTTTCCTGTCTGTCTCCCTCTGACGCACGGTCGAGTCACGGAGATTTACGTGGTGATCTATTGCGACGAGGGGTGCTGCTACTGATTCACCATTATTGAGCTTCACGACAGGCCCGTCTTACTCAAGACACCACAATGAGTGGAGAAAAGAACTTGGACCATGCTGAGAGCGTCCAGGATGTTGAAGTTGCTCCGCAAGTGAGCTCTCTGGCTCTCCTCCTACTCACATCACGGTCTCCTAACAGCAATTCAAGGTAACGCAAGAGAGCTACACTGGGATAGATCTCAGCACTCGCGAGAAAGCCCTGGTCTGGAAGCAAGACTTGAGAATTGTGCCACTCTGCGCGGGCATCTATCTTCTCTGCTATCTGGACCGTTCCAACATAGGTACTTGACATCCTAGGGCATGCAGTACAGTCTACTGACATATTAGGAAATGCCAAAATCCTCAACCAAGACACCGGCAACGATCTCCTCTCGGAGACGCATATGACTTCGTACCAGTACACGTAGGTATTTCCGCTGGTCAAGTTGACTGGACGACTGCTAATTTGCAGTGTCGCGCTCATGGTGTTCTTGATCGCGTATGCGCTGTTCGAAGTGCCCTCCAATTATCTGCTCAAGAAGTTGAAGCCCAGCGTAAGTCACACCCATCCCAGTCAGAGCAAGGCTAACGCCAGCAGAGATGGATCGGATTCCTCATGCTGTCCTGGGGAGCTACCACAATGGGCTTGGGCGGCTCGCACAACTTCTCCCAAGTGACTGGTATTCGGTTCCTGCTCGGAGGTAAATAGCCGGACATCGACTTTTGTGAGACCTGCTGACCCTGACATGACAGCCACGGAGGCCGGCCTTTTCCCCGGACTCGTCTACTACCTGACCTTCTGGTATCGCAATTCAGAGCGGTCCATGCGCGTCGCTCTCATCCTAGCATCCGCCACCCTCGCGGGTGCTTTCGGCGGTGCCATTGCGTACGGCGTAGGGCATATGAACGAGGTCCGCGGGCTATCAGCATGGCGATGGCTGTTCATCATCGAAGGCGCTCCGTCGTGCGCCTCGGCATTCCTCGTTTGGTTCTTCCTCCCTGACTATCCCGAGTCGGCCTCGTGGCTCAGCCCGGAAGAGAAGGATCTTGCTATCCACCGATTGAAAGAGGAAGGCTCCCATGGAGCGGCCAAGGCCATGAGCTGGGAAGAAGCAAAGGAGATCCTGACGGAGTGGAGACTATACGCGCATTATATAGTTAGTCCTCCCAGCACGAATCAGCAACAGACCCTAACAATGCTGGTATAGGTATATTTCGGCATCTCGACCCCCTTCTCCAGCCTTTCCCTCTTCACTCCTGCCATCGTCAGTGGCCTTGGATATGCGGATCTGCGGGCCCAACTCATGACAGTACCTCCATGGGCTGCTGCCTATGTGGTGACTACTGTCGTTGCATGGTCCGCCGACCACTTCAACAGGTATGTAGTCATGTACTTCCCACCAGAGAGATATTGATATATAAGCCGAAACACAGCCGTGGTCTGCACTCCGCCCTCTTTGCCTTTATCGGAGCCATGGGCTTCCTCGCATCGGCTGTCCTTCCCGCAGACGCATACTTGGTACGCGCAAGCATTCAACCCAATCAAGCCATTATCCAGACCATCCACTAATTCCGGCAACAGCACCGATACGGCTGTCTTGTAGTCGCAGCAAGCGGCTCCTTTGCCTGCATCCCGCCATTACTCGGCTGGCTATCTGCCAATATCCGCTCGACAGCAGGGACCGGCCTAGCCATTGCATTGAACGTGTCATTCGGGGCGCCGGGACAAATTGTAGGGGTATGGATATACAAGTCCGACGAGGAGAAGAAGGGTTATCCGACGGGACATTGGACGAATGCTGCGCTGCTGCTGATGGTCACGGTGGGGTGTATTCTGCTGCGACTGTATTATGGATGGAGGAACAAGGCGACCAAGGGTGGTGAAAGGTTCGCTTATTGATTGATTGACTGCGTGCTAGTAATCATGTTAGTATATCATGAATAGTATATAATTGAAGTTGGGGAGATCTGTCAGTCTGGCGAGTCTTCCTGTATTGGAGGCACATACTCACCAGCAACAATGGTTCATATCCACCATATTACTTCCCAGGTTCTTCTCAGAATGGATTCAGCACCACTCGGCCGCCAATTGTGCAATTAGAGTAATTCGTGCCCAAGTCTCGAGAGGTAGGACGGTGAACGAGTCATGCTAGTGCGAAAAGGAAAAAAGCAAAATGGACTAGAAAGAAAAAGGCAGTTAGTTCTCGCCAACTGAAAACAAGGAATCCGGTGGATGCCAGTTGATGCCAATTGGAGCAATTGTGCCCCATATTGCAGAGAAGACTGTCTCCAAAAGTAGATAGCAGACGCCATGGCATACCTAATTGCCATCTACCGTTTGGTGTTAAGGGTGCGCGGGTCCCCACGGAGAATAATAAATGAATGATTGGCATGCGAACCATGGAACCGGAGAGACTGGCGGGCGGGCGGGCACAACACGTGAAGAAAATAAGGTTAAGCTCAGGGCCATGACGGGTTGCTAAACCAGAGGTCTGGTTTGCCAATATCCAGTAGGTAAGAAAAAGTTAAGGTTTCCTCCCTTCTCCTGGAGAGTTATAGGGGCCAGCAACCACTATTGAACACCACCCGCTAAGCACTATCCAGGCCTGGCATCCCAGGGGTTTGGGTGCTGTGGATATTTCCGCGTCTGACAAAACTCCCGAACTGGCGGTGGGACCTGAGGGTCTTCCACTTTTCTTTTCTTCACTTAGCGCTGACGGACTGATTGACTGGACTGGTCTTGAGGAACTGCTCGATTCCCAAATAGAAAGATAACCAAAATTGTTTAAATAGAAAGCATGACTTCATTCAAAAATAGATGGGATAAAAATATGAATAAAATAAAAGTAAAAAAAATTTGAACCCCGGCAGACATTAGTCTCTACACCAATCCATGGAGGGGCTATTCCCAACCAGGCACTGTCGCCAAAAATAAGAAAGACACAACGGTCTGGAATAGATGAAAAGAAAACAATTCCCGAGATGTTCCCTCAACTCCGCCCATAAACGCTGTGAGAACTAAAAAGGAAAAAAAGAGAAAGATTTTTTTTCCCTTTTTTCTTTTCTCGTTGTTTTGTCAAATCCTCTCCCTCCCCTACCAGCATTCAGTCGGCGCACAGCAAGTCGCTTCTGCTCCGCACTGACGATCGCTTGTCCTGTATGCATGGGCGATGGGCGCCTCTTTGCTTCATGGCCAAGCGGGCATGGGAGGGAAAGTAAAAGATAAAAAAAAGACCGGCAGTATGAATCGCTACCATGATGAAGGAGGAAAGAGAAAAAAGGCCTCAAAACTAACTCGGTCAAAATGCCAAAAAGCTCGCACATCGCACGAATCTGTTCTGTCGTCCTAAAGCATTCGTCGGGGCTCGACTGTCGGATTTAAGAACTGGCGCAGATGACAACAGGACTGTCAAATGCGCTCGCCGCCTGCGGATTGAATCAAATCAATATGACCGGACCATCCGAGCCGACTCCGGCAAGGGCACACTGCAGAACAGACAGGGGCCAAGGTTCATCCGCTCAACGGTAACCTTCTTCCCGCAGGAAGTGAGCCTCAGCCATGTCCACAAATTCCACCCCATACCGTTGTCGTGCCATTCTGCGTTGGGGAATAATCAAGGGAATCGAGCGGAAGAAGAGCAAACAAGTCTCGAGAACGAAGAAGGAAAGGTCAATTGTCGACATCCGAAGTGTTGTACATGTCTGCGAGACCCGAGGAGTAGGCATCAATCCGGATGGCGTCGTACATAACAAGCAAACTGAGCGTAGAAAATAAAAGAATCATAAAAGAACCGGAATAGACGAGAGCGAGGGAGAGGAGAGAGACATGAGTCATTCTCTCGGTAAACATCCAGACAAGATCTAGAAATACAGCCTCTCGACGGACATCAAGGGTTGTTGGTCAACTTCCTCCAGGCGACCTCAGCAGCATCTTCTCGGGCATTATTATCACCATCGAAGAAGTATCGTCCCGCAATCGTCCACGGGACTCCAGGGACATGGTGCCGAACGGTGACCTTGGAGGTCCAAGCTGTGCGACCTCCTGAACAGCGACACACCCGTCAGTATAACCAGACCTTTTGCTTGAAATGGGGAGGCTCAAAAGTCGGTGAAGCAGAGCTTAGCTTTGCCATCACAGGCACACTGTGGGCAACAGCAAGCAG